TTATGGTTTTTCAGAATGTCTCAAAGATTAGAATTTTTGGTCGTTGAGGTACAGCTTGCACCACGCTGATGAGGGCCAACAGCCCGAAACGTGTACGTGGTTAGCTTTTCTTGAATAATCAAGAATGGGTATTTTGGCCAATTCTGGAATAATTAGAAATCAACGATTGGTGTATATTTATTACGACAGATGGTGCAAGCTATCAGAAACTTTAGTTGCACGATCAGAAAATGCCGTTTTTCTTTATTTATTTATTTGTTTGTTTTGCTTATACTTTAATAAACTATGGAACTACGTCCATCTTGACTCACTTAGCATCTATTGCTCGCAGGGATGTCGTCAAGTGGTCGCAGGGAATGACAAATGCCATATAAAAGATCACTTTTTTTTTTTCAAATAAAGATTCCCACAGACGCAACTTCTTAATTATTAGTTGATTCTTATTTTGAAAAGGTTTGAGCTATTCCATTCCAATGCTCTTTCTAGTGAACCTAGTGGATGACAAGATATCCAAGAGGCCAAGATTCCAGAGTCTTCTTCTTTCTTATCTCCACTCAATCATATTAGGGTATCAAGTTGTTACCCTTGATGGTGTCTGTTTGACAACCATCATGACTAGGTGAAGTAGTCTGCCTTTGTCATTAAAACTGGGAGCACTACTCAGTAGCAGGCCGACTTTGCTCCAAAAGAAATGGCCGCCTCTGACATGAGGAACAGACGCCATTTGCAGCATGATTCCAGAGTAAAGTTGGGAGGTGGATACTCCAGCTGTTATGTGTGAGGGGAACAGGCGCCAGGACGGTGTTCCAGTGTGGGGGAGGACAGAGTCTGGTCACATCTGTGGCGAGTGGAAGACGCGGCGAGTTGTCTCCTGGCCGTGTGGATGATCCTACAAGACGGTGTCAGAGACCCGACCTGGACGGGAGCCGCTGTTGACAAGGAGGATCCTTCTGATGGCGGACTTAGGAGACAACTACCTAGTTCTCTATTCCATTAACATCTCCTGGCAATAAAGTATATCAAATGTACCCACAACCAACTTTCATTGAACCTTGAAACATCGACTGCTGAAAAACGTCGTTACAATAAGATTTGTAGAACAACATTTGAAAATTATCCCGCATGTGTTTCTTTTGAACGAAAAATCGAAATTTATTTTAAGGAGAAATAACGACCATTTCCAAACCTTAGGGATGAGGTATGAAAGGATGAATTGTGAAGAGTAATGATAAACGGAAAAATAAAAGTGTACAAAAGTTTATCCTTGAAATAAATTTCGAATTTTCGTTCAAAAGAAACACATGCGGGATAATTCTCGAATGTCGTTCTACAATCATAGGCCGCTTTATATTGTATTATAAATGGCTAAGATTTGTTTTGAAGGAGAGAGGTGCCGTGGATGTCAGGGGCCCATCTAGAAGCCAACACGGCTTTGTTGATCTACGGGCGGTACAGAATTCGTTCTACTTGGCCGTTAATGGCGGCAGAAGACCAATGCTGCTGCAGCATATCGACGACTCTGGACACGTTAACTTCTGCCCAGAAATTGGCTTCCCAAATCTTAATTTAAAATCAATTGTAATCGGGTTTTTGCGTGGCCAAGAGATGTCTGTTTGAGTGTCAGAAGATAACGTGATTACTCCACCGGGTGCTTCGGCCTTTTTCCGGAGCGGGAATCAATTATGCAAATCAGCGCCGGTGATCAAAGTTTTAACCCTTGGGGGCTGCTGGCTGCTCTTTGTGTGGCATTGATCCTTCTGTGCCGGGCGGTGGTGAGGTCTTGATCTGGTGTCGATATCTCTGAAGTCTCAGGATGGTTTCTACAGTCCAGTCTCGAGGTGGATTGGTTCTATAATTCTTCATTTTTGAGAATTCCTAAATCCGAAATATCTTATAAGACGAAGCTAGGATATTTCTCCGTAGGAAATAATTTATTTATTCAAAATGTTTTGGTAACTGGGTATTTATGATTATCTTTCTACCTTCTCTCTCTGGAAGGATCACAAGTTCCTAATATATCTTATTGTGTGTGTGTTTGTTTCTTTCTTTATTTTTTGAATAAGTTCCAAAACCACTTTATTAGGTACCGCTCAACAAGAACAACCTAGTTTATGATAATTACAACAATGAATGTGAAGGTTACTTACATATTAAACAAAATGTTAACGCAGGATTCAATCCCGGTTCATGACTGTCGGGAATCGAGAGTGTTACAAACTCGTCCACCGACTCTTTTTGTATACTATGTTTATAACTGCTTCTGTTTAAAAATGTGAATCGACACAATTATCCCTAGCCGGGATATCGCGTTTTGTGAGTTGAAATAAAGAAATAGATTTTTGGAAACATTTTTGGATTTGTTGAAGTTTGAGATTGAATCAAGGAATAAAAGGATTATTTATTAAACAAAGTAACTTAAAACAAGATGTTAAAGTAGGAAAATTTTAAAGGCAAGTATAGTATAGGAAGGCGAGAGACAAAGACTAAATATCTTGACGTCGACCGCAGCGCCGCCGCGGCCGTTGATTGGTCGATCCCGCAATGATCCACGCCAATTTTTGATCGCTATTCCAACACTCCCTCTCGATCCAAAATGTTCAGTAGACCTCTTAAGTAGTGGAATTTGTTTCGTGGAAGAGGTTTAGTCATTATATCAGCTAGCTGTTCTGAGCTGCAAACATGATGCACTTTAAGTTCACCTTCTTCATGTTTGGATCTAATGAAGTGGTAGCGAACATCAATATGTTTCGTTCGTTTGTGGAATACTGGATTTTCAACAAGTTTTATTGCTGCTTGGTTGTCGATATAAAGTTCAGTTTCTTTAGTAATATCACAGCCGATGCCCTGTAGAAGTCTTCTGATCCAAATCAATTCCTTAGCAGCACTGCAGGCAGCGATGTATTCACTTTCGGTGGTTGAAAGTGCGATAATTGGCTGTCGTTGGCTTGCCCAAGAAACAGTTCCTCCGTTCATCATGAAGGCATAACCAGTCGTACTTTTTCTGGAGTCAACATCACGAGCAAAATCACTATCAGAGTAGCCAACAAGTTGGTCTTGTCCAGTGAAGAGAATTCCCATGTGTGGAGTGCCTTTCAGATAACGGAAAAAAAGGGATCCAACAGCTTCTCGAAAAGGGAATTTAGGCATCTTTTCCTTTTGTTCTGGAGTATGACAGTCCTGCTTTGTTAAGATGACAGAATGATCCATAGGCACCGAAGCAGGAATACAGTCAGCCATATTAAATTTACACAAAATTTTGTCAATATATGATGACTGGTGAATGAAAATACTTGCCCTATCTTCTGACTGCTCTATTTGTAGCCCAACAAAAAAATTAACACTTCCAGATGTAATTTCAAATGCGTGTTCTAACTCATCCATTATAATAGCTATTGCCTCTTTATCTTTAGATAGAATAATTCCATCATCAACATAGAGAGCTAAGATAACATTTAAATCATTGTGTGTTCCAATGAAAATGCACGGGTCGGCGTCTGATGTTTTGAAATTATGGCTATTCAAAAAATTGGTAAATTTCTTATTCCAATTTCTAGAAGATTGTTTAAGACCATACAGACTTTTATGTAATCTATAGCAGCTATTATCATCTCTCTTGTAGCCTTCTGGTTGTTCAAGATAAACAAGTTCCTCTAATTCGCCATTGAGAAAAGCTGTCTTTACATCGAATTGCTTAAGAAACATCCTTTCAGAAGCAGCGTGTGATAAAAGAATGCGTAACGAATCATACCTGACTACTGGGCTAAACGTATCGAAATAGTCAACATTTTTGATTTGAGAATAGCCTTTTCCAACTAATCTGGCTTTGAACCGTTGAATTGTACCATCGGACACCGTTTTAAATTTATAAACCCATTTACAACCGATAGGTTTATGACCATCTGCCAAACGTTCTAAAGTCCATGTTTTATTTTTATTTAATGCATCAATCTCTTCATCCATGGCTAATTTCCATCTTTCTGAATCTGAACTCGTTATTGCATCTCTATAGTTACTGGGTTCATCAGCGAGCGCAAAGTTACATTGGCTATTCGAAACTTTAGAGCGTGTTATCATTGGATGCGAACTGATATCGGATACTGGCGGCATTTCCTGCACTGGAATGTTTGCTGTCGCAACTGGTGATTCATCCGGAGCGCTGTTAATCTGAAA